GAGTCTGAATTAAGCAGTTGCTATGTGCTAAGCAATAGGAATATAAATACAAGCAGAAAAAAGGCAGTCTCTGCCCTCAAGGAGCTTACATTCTAATGGGAGAAAGGAGCTGAAAAGGATATATCTATAGAAGGGGAAAATGAAGGTACCTGGTTGTAGAAGTGTGGTAGACAAAGCCATGTGGAGACAAGTCAGAGGTACAGCCTGAAGAAGAATGAAAACATGGTTGGCCTGGGCATCCTCCTTAAAAAGGAGGTTCTGTAATGAACCAGCCCATCAGAGGAAAGGGCTTCTGGGAGAAGGGATAGGAGAAATGGAGGCATTTGTGGTGGGCTTTAAAGGATAGCTTTGAGAAGGGTGGAGGAACAGAAGGAAAGCATTTCAGGGGAAGAAAAACAGTATGAACAAAGGCATGGAGAGGGGAAGAAATGTTTGAAAGGGGAACTTTCTGTTTTGGATATACACAGTTCATAAGAGATAAAGCTGGACAGGAGGAAAGGACAGGAAGGATTATAACTTTACACTGTTGATGTACTTCTTAAGAACAAGGTCAGTTTCGTCGTTGTTTTTATCCCTGGCACCTAGCACATAGCAGGAGTTTAATAAATGCATTTCGATTGATTGATTCCAAGCAGAGCAGGGATATCAGCAGATCTATAGTCTTTGTCCTTGTTATCTTGGACCTGTGATTTGTTGGTGTGGGGAGCTCCTGCTGTGGAACCTCTATCCACTAATGCAAACCAACAACTTGTCTGTAACTTAAGAGTCACAGAGAGTTACCTGGGGAACTGAGGGGGTTAAATAACTTCTAATTTGAGGTGAGATTTGAACCCATATTTCCATGATTCCATGATGATGTTCCTGACTGCCAGACAAGCCCTTAATTTACTATTCAGCTCTGCCTTTTTGCATAAAAAGCATTCATCTGGCAGGAGTTTGAAGGATAGATTAGACAGAGGAGACATTGGATACTCTGTGGGACTAACAGATGGACCTGTTAGGAGACTATTGCAATAGTACAGGCAAGGCACTGAGGCTCCATTCTGGGGTGGTGGGTGGCAGGCAGGAAGAAGTAAAAGTTACAAGAGATATTGCTAAGGCAGAATAAGCGGCAAGCTAACTGTGCAACCATGGGCAAATCATTTCATGTCTCTGGGCTTCAGCTTCTTCATCTAGATGCCCTCTCTAAGATTCCTTCCAGCATTCAGTCTATGATCCTAGGCCTATGAATAACTTTTTAACTTATTAAATACAAGAAGAGAGAGAAGAGTCAAAAATAGCCCTAAAGTTTTGGGCTTTTTTATGTTGAGGTAATCAAAGTAAAGTGACTTGCCCAGCGTCGCATAGCTAGTAAATGTCTGAGGCCATATTTGAACTCAGGTCCTCCTGAGTCCAGGGCCAATGCTCTATCCACTGAGCCACCTAGCTGCCTTTAATAGCCCTAAAGTTTCAAATGTGGGGTATATGGTGAGGCCACTGACAAAAAAACTAAGTTAGAAGAAAGTTTTAGGAGGTTTGCAAAGAGCTTTACAAATATTATCTTATTTTATCCCCACAGCAACCCTTGGGAAGACAGTACAGGTAAGGACTATTATTATCCCTATTTTACAGACAGAGGGACTAAGACATAACTTAACACAACAAATTAGCGTCTGAAGGAAGATTTAAACTCAGGTCTTCCTGACTCCAGGCCTTGGGTTCTATCCACTGGGCCCCCTTAGATATCCTAAACATATGAAACTGAAATCCTGCACAACTGGGGAAGAGAACCATGAACCTCCTCATGGAGGTGGTTGCAGTTCTTACAAAAAGCACAGTTGTGCTGAATTAGGGCACCAGCATCAAAGGAGAAGCAAACCACCTGCTGGTAGCCATTTGTTCATGGTAATTTTAAGCCTCAACAGGAGGCAAATAGTTCCATGTGCCATCCTCATCCCTTTTCCTTCCCACCCTTAGCACTAAAAATAAGTTTTCTAAAGGCAGCTTTGTCTTGCAGGTGTTCTATTTACACACTATAGTTTGTATTTTATGTGGTTGGGAAAGAAGGGAGCTGCTACTAGCAGCTCTGGCTTCACACTTGTTTGTTGGGACACTCAGCAGCCTTAGAAAGCAGCATGTCACAAGGAACCTATGGAATTTCTACTTCAATAAGGAAAATTAATTCAACTCAAGTAAATTCTGGACACCAATGAAGCAGACATCCAATCAGCAACGATTAGAAATACATGTCCTATTTTTCTAAAGCCCTCCTAGAGAAAAGAAATTTAAAAAAAAAAAAAGAATTTTAAAGCAGGCCTTAACACAATAGCAATACCCACACTACACTGTCCTTTAAATCTAAAGCTATTAGTGACCCATCATTAACAGAGGAAGGAGCAAAGTTTGGTAGTGATAACCATGCCCGGGGAGTTCTAGATCTGGCTGTTCTACTAATTTATTATGTGACCCTAGGCATCATCCCTCTGGACCTCAATTTCATCAGCTGTCAAATGAAGGGGTTGGGTAGATCACAAGCTCATCTACTATGAGTTGGAAGGGACTTCAGACTATCAGGAGCAGCTGGGATGCAGTGGATAGCATGCCAGACCTGGAGTCAAGAAGATTCATCTTCCAGAGTGCAAATTTAGCCTCAGACATTTAGCTGTGCGACTGTGGGCAAATCACTTAACCCTATTTGCTTCAATTTCCCCATCTGTAAAGTGAGCTGGAAAAGGAAATGGGAAACTACACCAGTTATCTCTGCCAAGAAAACCCTAAATTGGGTCATGAAGAATCATATACGATTGAAAAATGACATGACAATAGTTAGAGATTTTCTAGTCTGACCCCCATATAAGACATTAAATGGCAGAGCCAGGATTTAAACACAGGTCTCTGGACTCCAAATCCAGCACTCTTAACATGACATTGTCCTTTCAGCTTTAAAAAAAAAATTGTGATGATTCATGATTTTTATGTTTTGAGTTGGGGTGTTTTTTGTTTGTTTTTGTTTTTGTTTTCAGAATAGGTGATTGCCAATACTTGACCAGATATACTCTCTACTTTAATCTTAATGACACATTTGTGAATAGACAGGTGATGAGTATATTCCAGCAAATATGAGGATGGCTGTATTTCCTTCTTGTAAAATTAACTGGCCTGGGTGGAGATTAAATCTTTGACCTTGCCCTTATTAACATGAAATCTCTTAATCATGGCAAAGTTGAGATGAATGCTTTATAGACAATAGTCAACTATCCACTGGGATTCTGGGGAATATGAGTTCCTCCGCAAAACCTAGGCAATTTTGTATAATAAAAGCTGCTTGACAGCCCACCTGTTTGGGACTTTTGTCTTTGTGTCATAGATTTAGAGTTGGAAGGGACCTCACAGGCCATCTAGCGAAATTCTCTCATTTTAAAGATGAGGAAGTTAACCATATCCCCAGTCTATCATAATGCCTTGCATATAATAGGCACTTAATAAATGCTTATTGTGAAAAATTATTTCTCTTGGAATAAAATTAAGGGATAAGATAAGATTATAAGGAGAGAAGGAGAAAGGGAGAGGTAGAATGGGGTAAGTTATCTCACATAAAACGGACAAGAAAAGGCTTTTACAGTGGAGGGGAAACGGGAGAAGATGAGAGGGAATGAGTGAATCTTATTCTCATCGGATTGGGCTTAAGGAGAGCATAACATACATACTCAGTTGGGTATGGAAATCTATCTTACCCTACAGGAAAATAGGGAGGGAAGGGGACAAGAGAGCAGGAGGATGATAGAGAGGTGGGCAGATTGTGGGAGGGTGTAATCAGAAGCAAACACTTCTGAGGAGGGACAGGGTCAAAAGAAAGAATAGAATAAATGGGGGGGCCAGATAGGATTAAGGGAAATACACTTAGTTTTTTTGTTTGTTTTTGTTTTTGGTTTGTTTTTTTTTTTTAGGCAATTGGGGTTAAGTGACTTGCCCAAGGTCACACAGCTAGTAAGTGTCAAGTGTTTGGTCTGAGGCCAGATTTGAGCTCAGGTCCTCCTGACTTCAGGGCCGGTGCTCTATCCACTGCACCACCTAGCTGCCCCGAAATATGCTTAGTTCTTCACAACATGATTACTGTGGAAGTGTTTTGCATGACTACGCATGTCTAACCTATATCAAGTTGCTTGCCTTCTCAATGAGGGTGGGTAGGGAGGGAGGAAGGGAGAAAATTTGGAACCCAAAGTTTTAAAAACAATAGTTTAAAAAAAATTATTTCTCTTGGTAATCTGTGTCTTGGAGACTCAGAGCTCCCCCCTACCAGCCTTCTGTCCAAAGTTGTTCAGAAGGACATCTCTGATAATGAGATTGTATTGAATCTTCTTATTTTGGTCAAACTCCAAGCCAAGCCTGAATGGATTTTATCCTACTCAGGGTTGGGTGGAGACAGACTCCCAAGACAAGGGGTGGTATTTCCTTAGATGGCAGACAATATGGACTAAGTAATTTAAGGCACTATCAAAACCTCATTTTAATATGACCACCTCCTAGTGTGTCAACCAATCATAATTTGATTGGCACCCCATGGGAACACTACTCTTGGAGGGGCATATAAGACTGTACCCTAAAATCCCAAACCCAGCCAGTTCTGAATTGGCCCTCTAAGGGGGACCCAGTTTTGGACTGAACTCCCATGTCAAGCCAGATTGAAATTAAACCATGGACACACGTATCCCAATTTGGTTTGTCTCTTAGGTAATAAACTGGGGTTTGTGGGGTGCGGAGTTCACATTTTCGAATACGGGTTTTTAGTAGATGCAAAAGAACAAATATTGATCAAAGATCACTGATCAAAAAACCATGAGAAGCTTAGTTTTTCCCTTAGAAGTATTTAGCTGCTAATACTGAAAGTTTCTGATTCAAATGCAGCCTCCTTGGTCATCTTACCAATATTCTCAGTTTCAGAGATTCAATGTATCTCCTTTTGGCCATTATCCATATCTGTTTTGGGAGCATTATCTAACACTGTTGTCCATTTGACTCACCAAAACTCCAGGTCCTCAAGGATGGATGATTTTGGGGCTGGGAAGAGGGCAGGGGTTGGAAGTGTATACTCCCTCCATTGACACAAATCACAGTTCTTCTGTTCTTTAGATGGCCTTCAGACCTTCATAAGTTGCTCTGGCCAAAAAAATCACCACAGTTCAACCAATCTGCCAAACGTATACAGGCTATATAATGAATGAAGGGGAGGGAAGGGGAGGAAGAGAGAGAGAGAAAGTACAGTTAAAATTTTAGCCATGTTCTCCTGGTATGAAAATATAAGTTTAATTTCTTGTGATGGGAAAACCAAATATGAGACCAGCAAAGAAAAGAGAGAAGAATTTGGGAAGGGTGAAGAGGCCGTCTGGAAATTCAGGAGCAAAGCCACAGGAAGCAATTCTGGTGCTCCAGTCAAACATCACAAAACCAGGACATACCACAAGAAAGGTTCCCTCACCTCAATTGTTTTTTTTAAAAAAATCAGTGGAGTGCAGCACGGCGATGGAGTTTTAGGAGAGACCTGAGGGAGAGACTATCATATCACAGGATATAAGATTGAATGGAGAGAGAAGACCCAGGATGACAAAAGTTCATTTCTGGGGAAGTTGCTGCAAGGGATGAGAACAGAATAGAGCCAGACTGAGCAAAGGCTCATCTGAGGTGTGAGAGGAGGAGAAAACAACATCATCCGGTAGCTTCCTATTTTCAAGAATTATTCTTGCTAACTCAGGGCTAAACTCAGTTTCTTTTATTTTGTAAAGAAGTACAAGCATTGTCAGAGCCTTGTATATTTTAGCACATGTGGACCAAGCTTTTATCACCCCACCCTAGTTTTAACTCTGTAATGGGTGGGGTCACTGCTCATACTAGCATTCATTTTGCAATGGAGAAACTTATTCTTCTGGGCTGTGGGTACCTCCTGGCTCATTCCCTAAACTCCTCAAGCTGCATGACCTCAGGCCTACTCTGGCCCTGGCTCAGGAGCCCAAAAGGTTAGAGAAGGTAGCAGTCAAGAGTTTTCTACAATCCATGTGACATTGGTGGGTAGACAGGATGATAAGACCTATTTCATTTAAAAACTCTTAAGTACCCTTAAGGTATTCTGTGAATACCTTCACGGAATGCTAATCCACCCACCAACTTCTGCTCTTTTCTCACCCCAATCATCCTTTCACATTTCCCAAATCCCTTGCAAATTTTAAAATGTACAGAAGATTTCTGGTAATCAGTCCCAGAATATTAGGTTTGAGTATAAATAGCATTGGTGACTTTAATTCATTTCTCTTTCTTAGAGACCAGTGAATATGATATGTAAATTTATTTAAACTATAGAATTGTGGGAGGCTTTAGAACAAACTAGCAACTTTAATACTTGAACTTTGCTTAGCACTGAGACCTGCTGGTAGCAAGAACCCCATAAAGGCTTACTGTTTCTGGAATTGAATTGAATCACCAGGTTAAGCATTTTGAGAAAAATTCTATTATGAATATTGCCTCAGGAAATAATTCTCCTGGTGGGAGAGGGGGGAAGCTAATGAAAAATGACTTGCATTTCTCAGAAATGGATTTCTCCTCAGCCCCAAGTGATACTTTTTATTTCATTTCATATGAAACATTAACTTTTCTCACACATAGCTAGACTTTGAATATTGACTACTTCCATTGCATCTCAATACATTGAGAAGCAGCGACAGGAGCCCCAGGAATAAGGCCTGCTCCCCACCCTCACCCCTTGAAGCAGCAGCTGCTCCAAGTCTTGGGCACTAGGCCTTTCAGCCTGAACTACTATCAAAGGAAGCAGGCTTTCTTTTCTGTTGAATGAATGGCCAGCAGGGCCAATGCAAACATCCAGGAAGTCTTTCATAAATTCAACAGCCTCCTGTTAAGTATTTCACTCCCAAAGGAAGCTAAATTTTAAAATAAATCCAATGTTTTTAGAGTACTTAAAAGATGTACCAAGTATGCTCAGGGTTTGGGGTTTGTGGGGAAGGGGGTAGTGTGTATGTGTGTTTATCACTGAGCCATATGAAGCAACTATGGAAAAACTAAATAAGTGGCAATGATTTTGTTCTACTTCCAGTAGAACTGGTGTTTATTTCTTGCTTTGTGACCCATTCTTTACACAAGTTTTTATCACTCAAATGACGCCAAGGGAGACCACTTGGCTGTTAGGGATAGAGAGAGCAGTAGTAGGAATAAGGAAGATTTCCAAGTCCTACCTATGACATATGCTGGGTGTGTCATTAAACTTCTCAGTGCCCCAGGCAACTAACTCTCTGAGACTGTAAGTTGAGAGAAAATGCCAACCAGATGAAGCTCTGCATCAGGAGCTCCCAGTGAAATCATAGGTCAGGTTTAAAAAGAAAAAAAGTTAACATGTGAACTTATACAGAGCGAAATAAGGAGAATCCAGAAAGATGTATTGAGGTTTAGAGCTGGGAGAGCTGGTTCAGATGTGAAAGAATTCACCTAGACCTTCTCTGTAACCATTGAGAGCTTTACATGGAAGCTTCATGAGCCTGAGGTTAGCAAGGAGCTGAACAAAGACCTCCATACAGGAAAAACCCCAGGCTTATATAGACAGCCTGTAGAATGATGATGTAATTTTAGGGTTTCTTATGGGGGTTGAAGATTAGGTCATGACACTGGATAGGGAAGATGAATGACAGGATAAGGAACACAGGGTATGGGAGACAAAGGCAATTCTTTTGGTACAAGTCCTATGATATTTCAAGATAAGGGGAAAAGGACTTGAGAAGCTCTCAAGTTCCAGGATTTCAAGGTACAGGATATGCTACAGAATGAGCCTCAAACCCCCTCAGGGGGCCTGGGAAAGTAAACCTTAATATTATTTTTAATCCTAGAGCACCCTTTGTACCCGCATAAGATGGATGATGGATAGACAGACACAGATAATTTATAATATAAATGGTTAAAAGGAAGCCTGAGTAATTAAAATAAAAGTATGGTATCCTATAGAAAATACCTCTATCCTCACAATATTGAAGGGGGCAGGCTACTAAAATAGAGCATAGTGTACACTGTTCCATGCAATCACTATATCAGACATATGTGCTTTAATGTTTTTCTCTGCTATACGGAAAAGTTCAGTTTGATAAGGTTGGGTATGGAGGACATGATATAACTAGAAATTACTGTGATGCAAAAATAAAAGGCTTGAATTGCATTTTTTTTAAAAGTCTATGATCCCATGAACTTGATAGACTGTCTTCTTATATTTTACTCCCCAATTTATACTCTTTGATCCAGGGACACTAGATTCCTGGCTGTTCCATGAATAATATACTCCATCTCTCTTGGCTCTGGGCTTTCTGTCAAGCTGTCCCCATGCCTGGAATGCTCACTCCTCCAATCCTACCGTTAAGCTTCAGAGGTGCTGGAAACCCAAAATATTGAGATCAAGAGACACGGATCCTTCCTGAATGAATTCAACCGAACCCTTATTTCAGCTAAAAAACAAGGTTTATTAAAGACCCACCATATTGACCAGACTCTTAAGGAATCTAAATATTTTTGACATTCATAATGACAAGTGGGCTTGAGCAAGTCTCAGCCCTTGGCTAGATTTTAAGAATCTGAGCACTTGACTAGACTCTTATGGAATCTGAACATCTGTATCACTAATGAAAGTGGGACAGATTTTAAAGAATCTGAGTAGCTTAATGGAAGCCAGATTGGACCTTATATACAGAAAGACTATGGGAGGGATGTAGGAGTGGTTCAGTAGTTTGAGGTGACTGGTGGAGGGGTCTGGGAGAAGGGGTATATTGATGGGAGTGGCCAGTAAGCTGGGGTGACCAGAGGAGGGGTCTGGGCAGGATCTTGATGGGAGTGACTGGAAGGTGAAGAATGGGGTTCCAGATAGGATCAAGGGTGGGAAGTAGCCTGGGGCCACTGGGAGGTAATAGACAATGGAGGGCTGGGCTAGGTTAAGGGTAACAGAAAATTGGGAGATTGAATTTAGGCAATAATAAAAGGCCAGTAGGTAGGATTATAGTATCAGGAAAACATTAGAGGGGCAGATAGAGTGGATAGAGCACCTGCCCTAAAGTTGGGAGGACCTGAGTTCAAACCCAGCCTCAGACCAAACATCTGACACTTACTAGCTATGTGACCCTGGGCAATTCACTTAACCCCAATTGCCTTAAAAAAAAAAAAAAGAATATTAGAGACTTACTTAATCAAGTAGGAGAATTCAAGAAAAGTTCAAGGTTGAGTTTTCTAGGGCCCATAGACAAATGGGCCCCAAATTCTTTTTGGGGTGATGGGCAAAGATCTCAGCTTGGGTCCAAACCCTATCACTACTACTGACTTTGCTGGCTTCAACTCCCAAAAAAATCTCACATCCTACAGAAAGCCTTCCTCAACCCCTCTTCATTCTTGGGCCTTTCCTCTGTTAATTATTTCCCATTTTTCCTGTATACACCTTGCTTTGAATATATATTTGCATGTTGTCCCCTACCCCATTAGATTGTAAATTTCTTGAGGGCAGGGACTTTTTTTTGCCTCTTTTAGTATCTCTAGTGCTTAGCACAGTACCTTACACCTTGTAAGCGTTCACTAAATGTTTATTAAATTTTTTTATTTAATTGATTTGATATTATAGAATGTGCTACACTTACAATCAGAATGCAATGCTTAGGCTACCTGCATGATCTTGGGTGTTTCTCCTGTCTTTCATTGTTTCCTTATTTCTAAAATTGATGACTTCTAAGGTCCCTCTTGATTCTAAGTCTATGAACCTATGATCGTATTTCAATATCTCATTTCATTTTTTTATAATTAATTTTTAGTTTTCAACATTCACTTCCATAAGATTTTGAGTTTTAAGTTTTCTCCCTCTCCCACTTCTCCCCCCCACCAAGACAGCATACAATGTGATATGGGCTCTACATATACATTCATATTAAGCATATTTTCCCATTAGTCATGATGTAAAGAACAACTAGAACTAATAGGAGGAACCACGAGAATGAAGCAATAAAACAAAACAGAGTAAAAGGAGAGCAAATAGTATGCTTCCATCTGCATTCAGACTCCATATTTCTTTCTCTGGGAGTGGATAGCAATTTCCATCATGAATCTTTTGTAGTTGTCTTAGATTCTTGCATTGCTGTGAGAAGCCAATCTATCAAAATCAATCATCCCACAATGTGGTTCTTACTGT